CCCCGCAGCTGAGCCCCCTGCGACAGTGAATCAGACTCAGTTCAGTGCCCAAGCTGAGACGTACCCGTATCCGCACTCTCTGCTGCTGGCGTGCGCTTCAAGGGGTGGTCTGCAGGGTGATTTGCCGTTTTAGCGTAGGCAATATCATCCTGACGCTGCTTATCTTCGAGAGCGGCGAGGCGCTGCATCGCTGCCTTGTCTTTAAGAGCGGCCTTCGCTTTGGCTGTCGTCTCGTCCTCGCGCGCTTTTTCCATCTGCTGAGAGGTGCGGCGGTGCTTCTTCTCGAGTCCAGCAGCAACACCGGGTTGAGCCTTCTTGTTTTTGGCGCGTGTAGTGAGGCGGGGCATTTCCATGGTGGGGGATGAGAAGGGAAAAGCGACAAGTCCAAGATACCAACGTGCGCGATAAGGGACTTGTGGTCGGTTGGTATCGTGACTCCACAATTTTGAAATTTATCCAGGCAACAATCAATCACCGGCCCCGCCTGCCCGCCCCCGCACCGCCCCCGTGGACTTATCCATATCGCGCGCAGGAATTTCCCTTACACACAACGATGCCAAAGGCGAAGAAATTCTTGCCGAGAAACCTACCATGCCCAGAGCCAGGCTGCGGCCGGTATTTCAGGAATGGATCGGGACTTAACCAGCACATAAATTCCGCGCACGCAAAATTCCCCCGACGGGCCGCGTCTCCAGATGCCGGCGGCGGTGATGTACCTATGGGTTCTCCAGCAGGCAGCCGTGCCTCTTCTGTCCAAGGTGGTGGAGATGCTGCGGCGGATGTGATTCCTCCACCCCCACGTCGCCTCATCCGGCACCATCCACACTTGAATGGTCCGTTCCGAGCCTTATTAAGTTTTGCGCTGCTTCAATATTTTTATAGGGAGACCGTGCGACCGCGATGGCAAGTTTGTGCTCCCAAATACCCCACCGCCACCACGTGAACGGCCTGGTCCCGACGACTTTGCTCCATATGCGGGGCGCGGGGACTTCGATCTCGCTGACCTTCTATATCGGCGCGTTCAAATGCCCGCGGGCGCGATCAATGAACTCATGCAACTTTGGGCTGCGAGGCCAGAGTCTGCCGGGGATCCACCCTTCGCTGACCACGAGGATCTCTACAGCACCATCGACGCCACGGAAATCGGCCATGTTCCGTGGGAGTCCTTTTCCGTCCGATACAATAAACCTATCGCCCCAGGAGATGAAACTCCGTGGAAGACGCAAGACTATGTCGTCCACTTTCGCGACCCTCGCCAGGTCCTTCACCAACAGCTCGCGAATCCGGATTTCAAGTCGGAGATGGACTTCGCGCCGAAACAAGTCTTCGTTGACGGCAGCCGGGAGTACGAGGATTTCATGTCTGGGAATTGGGCATGGCAGCAGGCGGTACGCATACCACGCTATTCTCTCACATCATCAATCTCAGTGCAGCCATCTTCAGGACATTATCGCCGAAGACCCTGCCACGCATGGGTCGACGTTCGTACCGATTATTCTGGGGAGTGACAAGACTACGGTCTCTGTCGCAACAGGCCAAAACGAGTATTACCCGTTGTACATGTCCAATGGCCTCGTTTATAATGGTGTCCGCCGTGCCCACCGCAATGCTGTGACCCTCATCGGCTTCCTCGCGATCCCCAAAAGTCTGTACAGCTTCTGTTCTGCGCAGCGGCATTTACTAATTTTGAATCTCAAGCTGATCGCGAGAATCAAGACTCTGCGGAGTTTCGCACATTTCGCCGTAATCTTTTCCACGGATCGCTCCGCCACATTCTTCAGTCGCTGAAGCCGGGAATGACCGTACCCGAGGTGGCTTTATTCGCTGATGGGCATTACTGTCGCGTTGTTTATGGTCTTGGGCCTTACATTGCTGACTACCCGAAACAAGTGCTCCTGGCATGCGTCGTGCAAGGCTGGTGTGCCAGGTGAGCTCTATATTGAATTGCATGTCTCTTCTAAACCATTGGAATCAGGTGTACGGCGTCGAACAAGGATCTTGACGGCCCGAGTGGCCGCAGAAGTCAAAGTCATACGGAGATGTTATTCGACGTCTTCGACCACGGCACCATGTGGGACGAATATGGTGTCGTTCCAGACGTTCTTGTACGCAGTTTATCCTCCTTTCAATCCTTACTGAACACTGTTTCGTAGCCTTTCACCTGGGATTTTCCGCGGGCGGATATCTATGAACTTCTTTCACCTGATCTTTTGCACCAAGTGATCAAGGGTACCTTCAAAGACCACCTTGTTACATGGGTCGGCGAGTATCTCGAGAGCGAGCACGGCAAAGCCAAAGCGAAGAAGATAATGGCGGACATCGATCGGCGGTAAGTGTTTTGATTTTTGAAGTTATGATTCTGTCGGTGACTTATGTACTTACTTTCAGAATTGCGGCTGTCCCTCCATTTCCTGGACTCCGCAGATTTCCAGAAGGTCGAGGCTTCAAGCAATGGACAGGGGACGACTCGAAAGCACTGATGAAGGTCAGTAAATCGAGCTTTCCCTTGTCGTTCGCTAATATAACTCCATATCCAGGTATATCTTCCTGCGATCGAAGGCCATGTCCCGGCCCAGATGCTGCGTGCCTTCAGTGCCTTCCTCGACTTCTGCTATCTTGTCCGTCGGAACGTGGTTGATGAGGCCACGCTCACTGCGATTGATGCTGCGCTCGCTCGCTATCACCGCGAGCGGGTGATCTTCACCGAATCCGGGGTTTGCCCCAATGGCTTCTGTCTGCCCCGCCAACACTCTCTCACCCACTATCGTTACCTTATCCAACAATTTGGTGCTCCTAACGGGCTCTGCTCATCAATCACCGAGTCCAAGCATATCAAGGCTGTGAAACAGCCCTGGCGACGATCGAGCCGCTTCGAGGCTCTGTCTCAAATGCTGACTATCAATGACCGACTCGATAAGCTTGCCGCGGCTCGCGTAGATTTTGTCGACCGTGGGATGATGCATGGCCCATCTGCTCGTCCCCTGGCCGCGTCTGCGCTGGCTCCCCTTCCGGCCGAGGACGAGGATGATGACGGCGGCGCAAGCAATGAGAGGCAGATTCTCGGGGAGGTCTTGTTGGCCAAAACTCCGGGTTCGCTCCATTTCAATCCGCCTTCGCTTCTATTTACTGACATGCTTGTAGTGCGGGGGTACCCTAGGAATCCGAACACGTTAGCGCAGTATCTCAACTTTCCTCAGCTCCCTAACCTCATCCGCCGCTTCCTCTACTTTCAAAATAACCCCGACCACGACATTGATGCCCTTCCTCTCGCGCGGGTGCCTCTCGACGACTGCCCCGATGCTCCGAGCAGCGTCAAAGTATTCCCTTCGGCGGTCGCCAAGTTCTACGCACCCAGTGATCAGTCTGGTATCCGGGGAATGCTCCACGAGCGCATTCGGGCAGTGCGCTCGTGGCGTCGCGGTGCTCCTCGATATGACTGTGTCTTCGTCGAGGGTAACCCCGACCTCCCCGGCTTCAAGGGCCTTCTAGCTGCCCGGGTCCTCCTCTTCATGTCGTTCAAGCACCTCGGTGTGACATACCCGTGTGCCCTAGTGACTTGGTTCTCAACGATTGGAGATTCACCATGTCCCGATCTCGGCATGTGGATGGTCGAGCCCGATGTCGACTATCGCGGGCAGAGGATCATGGACATTATTCATATTGATACAATTTTGCGTAGCGCGCATCTCATAGGTATTTATGGTGATAGCCTCCTTCCCCGACACTTCAAACATTCCGAGTCGCTGGATCGATTCAAAGCCTTTTATATTAACAAGTATGCGGACCATCATGCCCACGAGATTGCCTTTTGAATACTGCTTTAGATACCACTAGCGCTAACCTAGAATACCACTTGTATTAAGTACTTCTTGTGAAACCTTCAATGTCTTTGACTGATTCGACGTCTTAGAAGTCTTTGATTCTCCCCGAAATGGACGGACCCTCAAAGACAGGGAGCGAAAGACCCGGGATGTTTGTCAAAGACAAAGAGTTCCAAAGACACAGTTCCAAAGATCAAAGACCACTGTCCCAAGACTAAGACTGCCAAAGATGTGTCCCAAAGATGTAAGACGTCAAAGACAAAGGTGTAGTTTTACTGATGTTGTAACTGCACCAGGCGATCTTGACACCCGTAGGTGTACCATAAAGCCTTCACTGGTGGCTGTAGCCAGATTTAATGATTCAATTATGCCAGCACACAGCCAGGGGCCTGGCTGTCCCTATGCCTTTTGCTCCTCGGTGCCCAGTTGGCTTATGAGTGCAGGCCAAAGTTTCTCGGCCGTCTCAGCATCTCGCTATCTATCCCAAAGTCGGTACCAAATGTTGCGGTGGACCCTGCAGGGCCGAAATCCTAATTCAGACGACTCTGTGTTGGCCAATCCCAATTAGGACAACTCTGCCATTACCATATGCGGAACACTATAGACTGTAATCAGTCGTCGTATTGTCTCCACCTGCGCTCCCTGCTCCTCCCAGCCTTGCCAATCTCCATGGTGCCCCTGCCTCTTCCGCCCTTGCCTCCTCTGCCTCCCGCAGCCCTACCACTGGGGCACTGTCCATTGCGTGCCCATCCAAGAGCTCGCGATATACAGTCCTGTCCTGCTGCACAACATCCCACACCGCATGGAACGTCACCACAATCCGCCGATGGACGGCCACTTGCCGCCGTGCATACACCTTCAAGCCTGATGCCAGCTCTGCATCAATCCCCATACGGTGCTCTGCACGCTGCAGCCATTGTGCTTGGACCCAGCGCAACATGCGCAAGACCCGTTTCATCTCTTCGCTGTGAGCCATCACATTGTGATAGCTCCTGACATGACCTCAAAACACCGAACTCCGAGAACAACGGCTTTAAAAAATGATATCCCGACCCAACCCATAACTCGACGAAGAATTGAACTCCATACCCCCCGAAAACAGAACACCTATGTAGGAATTCGGAACGCGTTGCCACTATGCCACCGAGCCGTGGACAAAAGAAATATTTTTAATGCAAATGGCTTGACGGAGAATCGAACTCCGGACTTTCCGTCAACCAATATATAAATGCTGCAGTGACACAGAGCGCGTTACCACTACGCTACCAAGCCTCCAGGAAGTTGAACTCGATGGCCACCAAGGACCAACTCCAGAGTTAAAAATGTTATCCGGACCCAACTAATGGCTTGGCGGAGAATCAAACTCCGAACTTTCCATCAACCTATATGCAAATGCTGTAGATCCACGGAGCGCATTACCACTACGCTACCAAGCCATTCAAGAAGTTGAACCCAAGGACCAACTCCGAGTTAAAAATGTTATCCGGACCCTCATGGCTTGATGGAGAATTGAACTCCGAACTTTCCGTCAACCTATATGCAAATGCTGCAGATCCATGGAACGCGTTACCACTATGCTACCAAGCCATTCAAGAAGTCGAACTTGATGACCACCAAGGACCAACTCACGAGTTAAAAATGATATCCCGACCCAACAATGGCTTGACAGAGAGTCGAACTCTGGACTTTCCGTTAAACGATATGGGAATGTTCCATAGGTACACGAAGCGTGTTACCATTACGCCACCAAGCCATGAACCGGATGACCAAAAATGCCAATAAGACCATTGCCATGAAAAAAAGAATGGTTATTGTCAAGGCTTGATGAAGAATCAAACTCCGGACTTTCCATTAAACCATATGCGAATGCTGCATATCACCATGGAGTGCGTTACCATTACGCCAACAAGCCATACAAATCAAACGACCAGCCAAGACGATCACTGTAAAAAGTAGGGTTTCCATAGGAATGGCTTGACGGAGAATTGAACTCCGGACTTTCTGTCAATCAATATAAAAATGCATTATCACGGAGTGCATTACCATTACGCCACCAAGCCGTAGGAATCGAATGACCAGCCAAAACTATCGCCATGAAAAAGAAGGGTTTTCTTCATAATGGCTCAGCAGAGAATTGAACTCTGAACTCTCCGTAAAGCATACCGCTGAAACGGTGCACCTAAGTATAGGCTGAAATGCAGTAAGGTCCTCAGATAGATGCTAACAAACAGCACCACACTAAATCACTAACACACACTACACACACAACACACAACCAATACGAAGTGCGAGATAATTGAGTTCGGGTCACCCTGCAGTATACAGGTAAGATGGAACTTCGTGGGATGGGATCAACTCAAAGAAGGATCAATCAGAACCTCTAGGAGCCTACAGTAGCTTGAAAACCACTAAAAGTGCACAGCTCTGACACAAGGTATTGGAGTTTAGGTAGATGAAAGCTTGCTCTGGGAACCACAGTAGGTTCGCGAACTGTGCACAGCTACGACCAGCCTACTAAACGTGACTGATTCCAATAGCAGACACGACTATGACTGTTCTACTAAGGCGGGAACGATTCCAATAGCCCAACTAACGAACTATGACCGGCCTACTATGTGTGGACGATTCCAATAGAACACTAGCCTGCCTTGTGCAACTTAACAGAGGACTTTCGCGAACTTGCCGTGACCCTCCACGAGACAAGGTGAAGTGATTGGCTTAGATGATCCTTTAAAGCTTATGGAGCCAACAAAATCAAAGCTTCTGTATTAATGAATCTACACAAGAGAAATGTTCTATATCACAAATCTCCGCACAGATACAGAGGACACCAACGCCGTTGACAGGTGGCTTTGACTTCCGTCTAAGCGCAACCAAGGGGGCAAGGATGAACTAGAAATCCATCTAGAAACACCGAGGGTGAGCTTCCGTAAGGCAGGTTCTACGTGGTCTTTTATATGTTTTCGATAAATACATGACAGATGGCTATGAATGAGAAAGAATAAGAGAAAATGAGTAAACTGAGAGCTTCGGAACGGAATAGGAATAGTGATGCGGCCTTCTAGTGGTGGTGGGATAGGTGCCCGGCATCGGACAGTCATCAGAAATGACTTCGCGAACCGTTTCAGGTATATTTGAATTGTTTCAGCACGGGCCGAAGGGTTTCGTGACCCGGCCTGCCACCTTGGCACACACATCCCACATCGGCATGGTTGATAATCCACTGCTATGTGTCTGCCCTGCTTTTGTAAGAGCGGTAAATAGTCCGTTCGGCCGTTCGCGAACACGAGGCCCTTCGGCTTCGGCTCAAGAATGCTCCGATCACCAATATGCTTCCGCTTTGGCAGTATTTGGTCCTCGCGACTGCGTCGCGATCATCACATGTGGTCCCCTAGACCCAGGGCTGACTACTGCTTGAACCAACTCTGGCCAGGCACCAATAGTCAGAGGTTTGCGAACATTTAACCTGGTTCGCGAACTCGTTCCTTTGCCCTTTCAGTCATAAGTCCGATGAAAGTGAGGTTCGCGAATATTAATGTTTGTTCGCGAACTTGTTCTGCAGCCCTCCTGCATGGAAGTGGTGTTCGTGAACTGTTCCCTGCCCTTGTCTGGTGCAGTACAATCCACAAAGGGTGTCAAGGCTTTTGTTATATCTCCTGGGTATGGTATCTAGCCTGCAGGGCAAGCTGCTTCCCGGATCACAGGAAACAACTCTGTCTGACGGAGTTCGCGAACACTTCTAGGATCATGAAGCGGATCCCCCATGTTATAAGGACCACACTGCTATGTCTCCTCAGTGCTCACTACTCCTCTAGCATCATTAATACACAGTCGGCAGTTCGGAGCTCACTCCGACTCTAATTGTATACCACCGAACAGAGGTTCTTAGAATAGTGCTAAGAATCGCGAAAATGCGTGATTACATGGGTGGTTCAAAACCAGTCGTATCACCGCGAACTACATAGGGATGCGGAGTGCGATACCATTATGCCACTGAACCGTTCAAAACGTGCCCTATCTTCTTAATCAATGGACAAAAAGAACGTAAGGCCCGTCAGAGATTCAAACTCTAGTCCCTCCATTATTTCAGTTTCCCGCCAGCTACGTGAACAGAGTGCGTTACCACTACGGAGGTCTGGTAAGAGGCGCATGAAAAAGGAATGGAAAAGAGAGATGGCTCAACGGAGGATTGAACTCTGGACTTCCTGCAAAGACGCGCTTGTGCAAGAACCAAGGCAGGATGCGTTACAGTTACACCATCGAGTTGTGAATACAAACAGCCCGAAAGGATGGAACGAGAACTCCAGGCAATCAAAAAGGTGGATAGCACAGGGAAAAGGCTCGACGGAGGATTGAGCTCCGGACTCTCCGTAAGTCAAACACTGGGGTGAAAGGATACGGAGTGCGTTTTCCACTACACTATCAAGCCGTCGCAGGCAGAAGCCGGATCGGAGGAGAGTTAGGACCGGACATGGAGTGTCCGGGGCTAGGGCCAACAAGTCCGGGTTGCGGAATCGGTGCCTGACTGAAGATGGTGCGGGTATGGGTTCACGGAGTTCGGGAATGAGTCACAGGTGAACTCCGGGCAGAGGAGCGTGCAAGCAAGCAAGTATGGGACACTGTTAGGGATAGGGGACATTTTCGGACATTTTCTATTTTTTCTTGCCTTATTTGCTTAAACTGAAAACGATTAGCTACATCTCCGTGTAGACCCAGAGCTGTAGCTACTCTAGGTTACTATATATTGTTTCTCTGACTTGAGATCCTGGCTTGTGCACGCTGAATTATGTAGTTCACGTGAACGTGACACGCACGCGTATAGCAATCTGGATCCGGAAATCAACTCCTGTTGAGTGCGGATGACTCAGAGGACCTCAGGAACCTAGCCTCTGACTCATTACATATCAGTCTGACTCAGCCACAGTCAGTTCAACTCAGACAGAGTCACACAGAACATAGCAGAATATTCTATATGTACAATTAAATACACATATGTAAAATGCATAAAAGGCGGGCATACTCCCCCTTTTAGGGCATTCTATCTCTCACCAATACTATCATCTTGCCCACTCAATCGTCTGATTAAGTAAGCCAAACTCAATACTGACTCGCTCTATTCGCACTTGAGGAATTGCTATACGCTTCGCGCTATATTAATTCTTGTTGTCCTAAGTTTGCCATTGCCTTGCGCTAGCAGACACGTTAGCTACTGACTCGCTCTAGCTTTCGGCAATCTCAGTACGTTTGAACGATTCGTTTACGAGAAGCTTCTTAACCCACTTAACTCATCCTCTCGAAACATTTCTGGATATTTTTGAACTCCGGTAAACTCATATTTCCATCCGATTAAATACTGATTTTACAGTGCTCGTTCAGTTACACCAGAATTATCTCTCGTCACATACTGTCGTTTGCATAAGTCCGTGAAAACACGAAAAAAATCTGCGCCATCACGTGTTGGTGAAATGGGAACAGGGCCGGAAACCTCAGTCGTCAAACAGTCACTGTTGAAGCTACTGAAAGCGGGGGATTCAATATTGGAGGTCAAAATGTTCTTTGCAGCTGAATGATATCCAGAGGCAACATGCCGTTCATGCCGGTCCACGTGCATGGTGGAAATATAATCAACGGAGGGCCCGAATATGCCTAATTGTCCATTAAATTTGCATTCACCGAGAGCATTTGAGAACGGAGAAACCCCGCCGAATCGCAAGTCCATGGTGATCAGTGCCTGAAGGCGGCACCGGCGGCATCAGCATGATTTAGCCGACTTTGAGTCATACAGACGCCGCAACTCTGAGCAATTGGCATGAAAATATCGCCCACTAAGTATAATAATGAGCGACAGCTAGTTGGGATGAATGGCCATTAATCTAGTCCACATAACCGCTGCCGTTCGCTGCGCCGTAAAAGACTGTGTGATCGCCGCTTTGATGCGTTCCGGCATGTGCCCGGCATTCGGCCGCCTCGACGTCGAAAACACCGCGCACAAGCTCAAGCTCAAAGCGTGGCCTTCTCTGTACTGCCAGTGGAATCCTGATGCAGACCCATGGAAGCGATACAATAGCCCAAATTGAAGATCTTTGCCCCGCCTTGCCAACCGCGGAGTTGTAGAACTGCGTTGCGATGTCCAGCATTTCAACGGCGGGAGGCAACCGCTGTGCACTGCAGTCATGGGTCCACATAGCCATCTGCGGAAGGCCGGTGGTGGTTGACCAGTTCAAACTCCGTTGTACTGCCGTCATCAGCTGGCATTTCCCAACCACAGTTAGTCGAGTCTAACTTCCAGAAACACCACTCGGACTCAAGTTTCCACTTTGAATAGTTCAAAATGGGTGCCAAGAGACTCGGAGAGTAAAAGTTGAGTACAAGAGCGCCCGATTCGGCCTGCACGTGACAGCAAGATTTTTTTGCATGTTTTCACGGACTTATGCAAATGACAGTAACACTGGTGGACACATTGGGAAATCTTTCGCAAGTTTCTCTGTTTAAACCAAAGTTCACACATGGCTGATTCCCATCACTCGGCAAGCCGGGCAAACTCGCTGGACATTGTCCCAGAGGAAGCAACGCTAGTTGTCAATCTGCCTTTTGGTCTCGAGCTCGCAAACATACCATCACTGGATGACCGGCCATTAACTACTTATAGGATGCCATCTGAAAGGGAGCGGTTTGATGACGAGTACCTGCACCGAAAGTTTTTGCATCTACCATCTAACTTTTCGCAACGGGATTATATCTTCACTCTGGACGAGATGAAACGCAAAACTCTAGCTTATCGCTTTGGCCGAGAAGCCTTCGGGCGACCAGCCATTGATATTCCTCTGTCTAGGAGTCAGGCTCGGCGGATATTCAAGCATGATTTGAATCTCTTGAAACAAGCACTTACAGAAGTTTATGAGTATTCCGACCCTAGCGAGAACACCATCTATGGATTAGACCGGCATCTCATGTCACTTCTAACCTCAGCTTTGGCCTCGCGTAGAAGGGCTGCAAGCGACGACTTCTATCGCAAATGTCAAGTTCTACCTGAGTACCCAGTATGGGCAGAAACAGGCAA